GAAATATAATATACTCCTCATGGGGCATCCTCTCGCCCAAATCATGATTATGCCACCATGCACCATATCCATTATGCAAATCACATACTATTGAATTCACAAGCATGCATATAGCCATAAAAGCAATTTTAGCAAGCATGCAATATCAACCCACCAATTCATCGCAAGATATCCACAATTATGCCATAAAATCAGTTAAAAATATAACATTTTAGATATAATATACTTTATTGATAAACAAAGGAAAACCCTACTTGCATATACATTTTAAAGTTCTTAATCAAGTTTATAATTAATTAAATTTACCTTAAATCATTCACAAGCAACCTAAATCAATCTAACAAGAATAGCATAATTTATAGATTCCATCGATCACCTCAAACATTTGAGAATTCAAAATTTACTCCTAATACAAGTTGCTTTCTGAGCTTGCAATGAGCTTGAACCATGTGTGAAAAAGATTAATCTACAATTAATAGAATTCGACATTACTTTATCCACTTTAAAACCACATACAACTCCAAATTCAACACTTTTTTACAATGACAACTTCCCAATCAGTTGTTCAATTTTACAACTAAGGAGTTTATTAACTTTTATTAATTCCATTTTAACTCTTGCTAGTTTAAATATCAACAATTATAACACCTAACAATTCACAATTCTTCTCAAAGTGGTTAGGGTTCATCCAAAACCCTAGCCTCAAACTTATAACCTTGTAAAATTCTAAAAAATATGGTTATGAGTGTAGCTCCCATTAAAACTAATGGGTTCAAACCCATTGCCTTGAGGTATGAAATCATCACCCCTAAAGAAAAAATAGAGCTGAAATGGGTGAATGGAGTTAGGGAAAAGAAAGAGAAAAGAGAAAAGATTGTCTTAAAGCTTGAACCCTTTTAGATTTGTCTTGAAAGCTTGCCATAGTAGTCTATAATACTCCCTCCATCACTTGCTCTCCGTTCTACTGCCTTTCTCCTTTCACATATTCAAAATATTTGACCGCTTATTGTTGCAAGAAACCCCATTCACCACAGCAAATAGAACATAATTGGGCCTCCCAATTCCGCCTTGTGTTTAGAGCCTAAAGGGCTCAATTTGCCCCTGAACTCAATCCAAAGGCTATACCCACAATTATAAGGTTCATTAGCCTTAAGCGACCATTGTTAGCCTAATTATTACTTAATTACCTTCAATTAATTAACTTAATCCTATAATTAAAATTTAGGATGTTACAATTTAATTCTCCATTAAACTTTAAATAAATTTTTAATACTTATTTATTGGTTGGCAACTTAAGGTGTCATTATTCTCTAAAACAGGCAAGTTAGCCTAATGTTCACCTAGATTCATGCCTATATATACCGATGCGTGCAACGTGTTCTAGTGCCTGACTCTTGAGTTTTTGAGCCATTTCTTTCCTCTTCTGCTTTGTTACCTAGATTATGTTATATTTTTTTTAACTATTATGTGCTCCTATTCATTGCGCAAGAAGAATTTGTTTAATTTTAAGGAGCTATTGCAATTGATTAGTGTGGAGGAATCACTTTTAAGGACTGCATCCTTCAGCACAACTCAGATTACATCCAATCCACTACAGCCAACAGCTTTTCCTTTATACAGTCTTCATTAAGATTATCGAAATGATAAATTTTCGAAACACAACAAATTTCTTCCACGTTTAACATTTTGTTGCCAAACGTAACTCTCGGTCGGTTCGTGTGTTAAATGTCTGAGAGTTGAAGTAAGTCAGACGTACATATAATTGGATCTTCATCTTTACTTCTTCGCCTAAATCCTACTTTTTCTGTTCAAATGGTGTCTGTAAGTAGGAACGGGCACTCAATTATCACGTGCTTAATAAATCGCTTCCTAGTCGGAATCTCCCACTATTAATTAAATTGGCACGTGCGCATTCATTTTATGGATGCATGTGGTCTTAATGCCTTTCTCCTGTTGATACCTGATTAGGACGACGACGACCCCAAAGCTATTCTTAATTAGTAATCATTTTATCTTCTTTACAAGTTACTAATCAGTTCACATTTTCATTAATTTCCTCGTTTCTCAACGGGCTTATGAATGATTGAACTTTTTGTCCATTTAGTATTTCGCCATTCGGTGAAAAATGATTTTTTTTTAAAAAAAGTTGGGGGTCTATAATTAGAGCCTCAGGTTTGTTAATTAATTAATAATGCTCCATCGGTTAACTCATTGATTAACAAGAATTTTTTTTATTTCAGTGATTAGGTTGATAAGGAAAGACATTTCTTTTTAGATTAAATTAATTAAGAGTTAGAATCTTATATATGGATGAAAAAAAATTATATTATAACGTCAATTTATTTCTAATTAAATTTAACAATATTCAATTTTTAAAATATCGAATATTAGGTGATTACATTTATAAAAAATATATTTTTAAAAAAATTGTCATTTATTTCCTTCTGCGGCACGTCACTTTTGCAGTAGTGCTAAAACAGGCAAGATTGATGAAACTTAAAACAGCAAGAGCCACTAGCTAGTTAATTGTAATTATCATTATCATCGTACTAAACACTGACAGTTCAAGTCACGCGTGCATGCGAGCGTGTGTAAGTATGCAATTTTTAAAAATAATATTTAATTAATATTTTAATTTTATTTATAAGTTATTCTTAATATATTTCACTAAAACTAAAAAAAATTAAAAACTTAGTAACTTTATTTTAAAATTTCATAACTTATCAATTTTTTTCATATTAAATATACATATTTTAAAAATATATTTTATCTCTTCAATATTCAATGGAAACTAAAATTAAAATTTGTGATGAGCATTTAATGATGTAACTTATACATATGATCAAAAAAAAAAATTCTCCCTCTATTCTGAGTACAAAGTATATGACTAAGTCTATAGCTTTATTTGGAATTGGAAGAAAATATGATTGGAGAGAAAAATAGGGAAAAAGAAACATTTTTTACCATTGTCTCTTCTCCTAAGTTTTCTACAGAGAGGAAGAACATTAAAAAATATATATATTAAAGTAAAAATTGTTCTTTTCTTTTGCTTTTATCTCTATTTTTTTCTTATCTCCAATGGAAGCTACAGCTGATAAGTGATGAATGATTTACAGAGTGGAGGGAAAATGTAAACCTAATGGAATTGAGAGAATTCAAATACTCCCTCTATTTCTATATATAAAATATTTTTAACTAAATCTTGTATATCAATAAAAATTTATTATTTAGTTAAACTCACATAAAAACACAATTATTTTTTCATTTTATCCCTAATAATATTATAATTAATATCATGATAGTAGTAAAAAAATATACAATTAATTATTATTTTATTTTTTAAGATAAGGATAAAATTATATAATTATTTAAAAGTATTATTGTTAACTCTTATGTTTATAGGTAAAATAAATTTTTAAAAAATATTTTATATATAAAAACGGAGGGAGTGTATTGGACGTTAGAGCAAATGCATAAAAATCCAAATTGGAATGAAAATAACCAATAAAAAGAGAGATATGTGGATGAATGATATTTGTATGGCTGATGAGTTACTGGGAGTCAGATATCTTATCCTTGCGTGTGTGAATGCTTTCGTCTTTGCTAGGCCCACTCAAATGCGTTCCCTTCCGGTTAACCACCCCCAAAACGACGCTTCTTCTCCAGTATTCACTGCATCTTTTACTATCTCTCCCCCATACGATGTACGTTATTTACAATTAGTCCCTGGTCAAAAGTATATCCCCACTTTATTCTCGCTACCCACCCAAACGCTTTGTCGTTTAGCCATTCTCTCTTGCTGGTGTCGCTAACAGGTGTCAGCAACCCATTTTGTGATACTAATACGTACCACATTCGCTTATCTTTCTTAACCACCCGGATTAATTTATTATTAGTCTCAATTAATTAAATGCAATATTTCTCATTCTTTCCAGATTATTACCTCCCGGACGGCTTTCATTTATATAATATTTCTTACATATTGATCAAGATAAGAGTGAACTATTTCAAGCATCGACAACAATACATGAATTTGTCCTTTTCGTTTTTTGTCTTATTTAATAACTGTTGTCGTAATTAACATCACAATCATATGCCTGCACATCATAAACCCAATTGATCGATATTTTTTACTCTGATAGTCATAATTTTACACCCCCCCTCTCTCTCTCTCTCTCTCTCTACATATATATATTAATTAATATACGACTTAAGTCAGTCTCTTATAGTGTTTTTTAAAAAACCAAGCTCAAATTAAATGATTTGACATGTGGCTGGCTAGATTTTGGATATTTAAAATTTACACCCACATCTTTATCACCCATTTTCATTAACAAATAATATTACCGTATATGTATAATCCTTATTCTTTAAAAAATTTCTCATTTTTTATTTTTGGTTTCTCACTTTATCCATGTGTAACATGGGAACTGTAACATAAACTATCATTCATATTAGTCATGAATAGTGTAATATATTTCATAAATTCCACACAATATACATGAGATAATTGAAACCCCCATCCATCAACTAGTTACTTATAATTCTCTCTCAATTTTATTTCTTGAGATATAGTAAATTAAAAGAATACATATATCATTCGTTTAAGCTTTAAAAAAAACCAAATAATTCCACTTTTTATAATATCATTAGATCTAAGTCTAAAAACTAAAATAGAACTAGAGCAAAGCCTATATATCATATACATCCAAATATAGAAAACAAGGAACTTTGTATATACACCCTAATTCCAATGGTTCATCACCCTCATATTAAGAACCGGGGCTAATAATAAGCGTCTCAATCAATTGTGTGAGACCAAAACATTGAATATTATTTATTATTGAATAAAAATAAAATCATTAAGAAATATGCACAGTAGAGAGGGGGCACGTTACAGCGAACACCTCCCTCTCTAAATGCATGAATCCAACCCCACCTGCTTCCCCTATCTATATGTATATATATCACATACAACCCCTCTTCTCTCTATCATTATATATCCAACTTCCACATAACCTCCACAACTTCCAACTGTCTTTTGATTCACTTCTCGAAACCCATCCAAAAAAAAAAAATGCCTTCATCCTCCACCACCGTCGTCTCCAAATGCACTGTCTACCCTAGCCAGCCCTCCTTCCTCAAATCCCTCAAGCTCTCCGTCTCCGACCTCCCCATGCTCTCTTGTCACTACATTCAAAAGGGAATCCTCCTCCCTCCTCCTCCTTTCTCCTTCCCTGACCTCCTCCACTCTCTCAAGCGCTCTCTTTCCGTTACTCTCTCCTTTTTTCCCGCCCTCGCCGGCCGCCTCTTCACTGATTCCGACGGCTACGTTCATATTCTGTGCAACGACGCTGGCGTCGATTTCATCCACGCCTCCGCCAAACACCTCGCCACTCCTTCCATCCTTTACTCTCCCACCCTCACTGACGTCCCATGTTGCTTCAAGCAGTTCTTCGCCTACAGCAAGACTATCTCCTACTCTGGCCACACTCTCCCCCTCGTCGCCGTCCAAGTCACCCAACTTGCCGATGCGGTCTTCATCGGATGCACTGTTAATCACGCCGTTGTCGACGGCACTTCCCTCTGGCATTTCTTCAACACCTTCGCTGAGATCTGCAAAGGAGCCAAGATTTCCAATTCCCCCGACTTCACTCGCGACACCGTTTTCAACTCCAGCGCCGTGCTTAAAGTTCCGGTCGGCGGCCCCAAGGTCACCTTCGACGACGAGCAGCCGTTGAGGGAAAGAGTGTTCCATTTCAGCAGGGAGGCTATTCAAAAACTTAAGCTCAGAGCTAATAACTGTGGCGCGAACGGTTTCGCGGGTTCTACGGAGTTCGTTGAAAAGCGAGTTAACGGCGAGATCACGCCTGTCACGGCGAATGGCATAATCCCTAAGACGGAAGAGATCTCGTCGTTTCAATCGTTGTCCGCACAGCTGTGGCGTTCGGTGACACGTGCGAGGAAGTTGGACCAGCGAAAAGCGTCGACGTTTCGCATGGCGGTGAACTGCCGGTGCCGTCTGGAGCCGAAGATGGACGCTTATTACTTTGGGAACGCGATTCAGAGCATCCCGACCGTTGCAGAGGTCGGAGAGATTCTGTCTAGGGATCTACGGTGGTGTGCTGATCTGCTGCACAAAAACGTCGTCGCACACGACGACGCTACGGTGCGACGTGGCATAGAGGATTGGGAGAAGGCACCCAGGTTGTTTCCGCTGGGAAACTTCGATGGTGCTTCAATGACCATGGGTAGCTCTCCGCGTTTTCCCATGTACGACAATGACTTTGGGTGGGGCCGACCATTGGCCATTCGGAGCGGGAAGGCCAACAAGTTTGACGGCAAGATCTCAGCGTTCCCAGGGAGGGAAGGAAACGGGAGCGTTGACTTGGAAGTCGTTTTGGCGCCCGAAACGATGGCGGGGCTTGAAAACGACATGGAGTTCATGCAGTACGTCACGGGAACGGTGTGAGCCGTTACTGCATAGTGAATCTAGAGAATACGTCAAGGAATAGCCATGGTTCGATCTCGCGTTGTGGTCACCGTGTGGGTGGCGGGAGCATTTTGCCACAAAGTTTATGTACAACTGCAAGGTGTCTCCGTAGCCTTTTATTCAACCAAAAAAAATAAAAAATTTATGTACAACTACAATTGCACTTTACACCTGACGAATAGTAAAGGAGGAAAAAAGGTGCTCCTTTTGAAAAAGGGCACTTGGAATTTCCTAAACGACAAGTAGATAAACCTTTTAATGCTGTTCTCGAAAATTTATTATTTTAAAATTAGTTTTGTTCTTTATTAAAATAATTACAAATTTCAATATAAAATTCAACGAGCAAACTTAAATATAATTTCTTTATATAACTAGATGGAACACTCTCCTGCAATATGCAACAGTGTTTTTGAGGGGGATTGTGGATGATTGAAAAAGATACAACAAAAAATAACAAAATTCAACGTGCGATGGATTACATTTCTAACATTTATAATTTTGGATATAAGGGCTAGATTAATGACGAATCGTAGATTATTCCATTGAAAGATGAGTAATGTATAATGTTTACAAGCATCACCTATTTTAATTTCCATATACGTTATCAGATTTCAGAACTAGTAATTTTTGTTTTTTGGCCTGAATTTAGAACTACTGCTTGATTCTGGCTACCTAAGGACGCTGGCTTAATTTACTTAGAATAGGCTTAGCACCTAACAGTATGAGATTGCATGAAATAGAAGACAATTTTTTAATTCAGATATAAATGTATCGGTTAGTTTTTATTCAAGGAAACAAGTATACAATTGCTAGAAAACACAGATGACTACTCCTAAACTCTTGCATAGATTCAATAATTCAAACTAAACCTGACAAACTAACTTAAACTCTCTTTAAAAATTTAGGGCCAAGTTTAGAATTTTTTTCTTTTATGTTTGCTTGACAAAACTGGCTTGGCCGTTTGGGAATAACTTGAATGTCTAAATAAAAAAAATTAAATTTTTAAAAAATATATAAAATATATGATAAATATTAATTTTTCCTTTAATTTTTAAGTTATTTTATACTAAAATACTATACATTTGAGTCTGATATATTGTTTAAAATATATTTTGTTTTTTTATAAAATAAAATAATTACTTTTAAAATAAAAAAATTAATTATAAATAATTTTATAAATAAAATTTGAGTATCCGAACTGTTTAAAATCTTAAAAAATTTAAGTCGATCTTGACTACTTACGCTTTTTAAAGGGTTAGGCTTATTCAAATGGAGACCAAACTACCAACTCTACTTTACCATAGGATAAGAAAGATGATATAAGGTTAAAATAAATTATGAGGTAAACAGTAAAAATACCGTAGAAAGAACACTAGTTTCAATGGAATTTACAAAAAGTAAAGATATTTTTTGTTATTGCTAGTGCTTTTAGCCTCATACATAATTATAGTTTTGATTTTTACGTTTGTCTGACAATACCCAAGATAGAGGGAGGTATGGGCTTCAAGGACTTCATCAATTATAATTATACTTTGCTAGCTAAAATGGCCTGGAAATTGATTCATAATCCTAATGAGTTATGGGCAAGAGTCTTAAAGGGAATTTATTTTCCTAAACATCATTTTCTGGACGCCAAGAACAAACAAATTCTGATACAAGCACGTCATATGCTATAACTGAAACTGTTGGGGGAAGCTTTGGAAAATCAAAACAATTCCTCGCAGTCGCACCCTGCATTTCCGATGGCGTGTCTTATGTGATGCTATTGCCGTGAATAAAACCTTGGTACAGACACAGATGGCACACAAGGATCTGTCGCCGAAACAATTGAGCATCTTTTTCTTTCTCTGCCCTTGGAGCCAATGTGTGTGGTTTGGTCGCGGCCTATATATCCATAAGAATTAACCCTTCCAGTTTTGCGAAGTTTGGAGAATGATTGTCTGGTATTGTTAATAATAGAGGTGAATTTAAGGAGTATGATGTGTCCCCTGGTATACTTGGAAGGCCCGCAATAACGATGAGCCCAGCCCAATTCAAGTCATTGAAGCATCCAAATCTGCTGTTGACGAATTCTGTCATGTATGTGGGTTGCACGATGATCCCATTACTGAACCTATTGGGTCTGATCGGCGTGGCTGCTGGGGTGCTCCTGCATCTGGGCATTTTAAGGTAAATTGTGATGGAGCTTTCCTTAACTCTTCTAATGACGCTGCCATTGGTTTGGTTTGTCGGAATGATGTTGGTGCCTTTGTATGGGAATTTGCTGATAAAGTTGAGTCTACATCTGCCTTCATGATGGAATCTCTAGCTCTTGAACGGGCTGTGTTATATGATGGTATCTCGCAATCAAAAAAGCCAACCCGATCTTGGTGATTGGAGGTGTAGATGCATTACTGAAGACATTATCAATCTTATGGGTTTCCTATCCCCTTTGTTCCACACAAAGGTAATTGTGCTGCAGACTTTATTGTAGCTTCCTCTCTCAAGGATGAGAGTCCGGTAAGATAGGTGTCTCCACAGTCACTTCCTTTGCTTCAGTTGCTAGCCAAGGATGCCATGAGTTGTGCTTTGTCTCCTACTGTTTGAGCGCCCTCAAGTTCAGAGATTGACGCTGGCTGATTTGTTCGTTTCCAGTTGCTTCTTCATTTGACTGTTATTTGCTGTTGCCTTTCGCGCCTTGTTCTCTGAACCCTAACATTTTACGATATGATTTGCTGGCGTTTGAGCCCCCACCCCCCCCCCCCCCCAAAAAAAAAAAGAAAGATTTTTAATCTTGCAGGTTTAGTGAGTGTTTATAATTATTAGTTAATTACATCACATCATATTATACGAATTTCTCGTGCGAATGACATAATTACTTTTGTAACCGTCATTAGTAATTGGAAGGCTACGAATTTCTCGTCTAACAGTCATTTTTTTAAAAATCTGGTGACTAAACCATTGTTAGTTGTTTCCTAAAGTAACTGAATAGATGTAGTTAAATCATAATAAAATTTATTAGAGACGGTGATATAATTATTATCCTATCGAGGATAAAAGTGAAAGGCAAATACTAAGCAGTTGGAAGGTTAGGATCCTTATAAAAGAAAGATATTCCTTCAAATTTGCCTGTGAATACAGCAAATTACAACATAATGGAGGTAGTGAACGAATAACCTACATGAGTACTTCATAAATGAACTCACTCAATGTAAAACTAAATAACCTTATAGTATCTCAGTCCCATGAGTGGGATAAACAAACCTACTAAAATTTAACCCACGCTTACAAGCTCCTCCCCAAAGCGCTGAAAATTAGAGCCAAAACTATAATTAACACAAAAGCAATTCACAGAATACAATGCTTTTTTTCTTACAATTAAAAGGAGTTGTGATCCAATAACCAATAACCGTGCACGCGAGTATTAAGAAGCACAATTCCAATTAATTAACAGATTCACACTGAAATTTTTTCTGTTTTTCTCAAGAGTCTATGACCCACCACTTTTAAACAATTACCCAACATTTTGCCAGACTCCTTCAGAATGACACATCCAGTTTTATTATTTCACAGAAGGTTGAAGATTTACCAATCAAAGCCTTCTCATTCATCATCCAATTCTTCATCATCAGCGTGCAGGTCTGTGCTTCTGAACATGAATTCATTCCCTACCTAACTGTTCTTGGCACCTTGTGTAATAGTCCTGTACATCAGAATGTCAGAAGTCAGATTTCTTGCAGATTATGTTGCATATGATACTGAATGTTTGATGCTCATGGTATAATCTGAATTGAATCCGCAATCAAATATAATCATAATTTATAGGGGGGAAACAGTATTTATTGGTCAACCTGATAAAATAAAGGCTAAAAATTTAAAATACAGCAGAAGCCACCATGTTTAGTGTTTACTCAATCAATCACATCTATCAAGTAGCAGGCTTCTTTAAAGCCAAGGGAAGATTGCAAAAACAAAAACAGCATAAGCTTGGACAGTATATTAGCATCACCTGTAGCTAACTTCTGGGGATGGGAAAATACATTTAGCCAGCCATCGTAAAGGTCTCAGCAATTGAGCCCGTTTCTTGCGCCAGAACCAAATGGCGGCATTGTAATTTTCATTGCGAATTTTTCTTGTGGCTGCCCTCCAGTCATATTTTTCCATTTCCTGCCGCGCGGCTCTGCCCATGGTTTCTCTCAACTCTTTGTTATGCAAAAGGGGTTTTAATTTGCTCAAACAATCTTCAATATCACCTGGATTGTAGAGATAGCCAATCCTTCCTTCTTGATCTGGAGGAATCATGTCAGGGACTCCACCGGCTCTCGCTCCCACCACAGGAATCCCAGAAGACATGGCCTCCAGAACAACAAGCCCAAGTGTCTCAGATTCTGAAGGCATAACAAAAACATCACCACTGGCATATGCTTGAGAGAGTTCTTCCCCTCCTAACATTCCTGTGAATACTACTGGCATCCCTTTGAACATTTTTTCCAGCTCCTCCCTGCCCGGTAGAAGCAAATGTTTGTAAGAAGTGACAAACAAAATAACTTGCTTTACAAAGAGATAAAGGACAGATATTTTTCATACAAAAACATGACACGTGAAACTGCTGAGTTTTGATAATTCCTTATCCCGAATCACAAAAGATGAAAGAGACTACATGACTTGCTCTCATTTAGACTTTTAGTATCAAGGAAAGATAGTACAACACACCCTGTGTTCATTGAAAGAGAAGAGTGAAAACTGTTTTTCACAGCAAGTGTACACACTACATGATTAGGAGAGCAAAAGGCAAGAATGTAAAAGAATCCGGTCCAAGGAAGCCAATTATTAGAAGTCCCATGTAGCACTTGAACAGATAGAAAAGAAGAGAATAAGCAGCAGAGTAAATTACTTGTATGGTCCATCCCCGATAAAAGCAATACGTGCTTCAGGAAGCCTGTCCATAAGGCTGCCAAATAATGTGTTCCAAATGTCAAAGGCGGGATATAGATATTAAATAACCATTCGAAACATATCTGGTATGGCATGAAGAAGGAACTGTATATCAATAATCAACAAAAAGATTTCACTCCTCTCTCATTTTACATTGTGGATTTTAAGACATTCCAGAAAAGGCCTTTCTGCAGCTCCATCAAAACTAACGAGTGACACTGTGGTGCCTTAATTGAGATAGATAAAAATTCTACCTTCTGAGAAAATCTAAACTCTTTTCAACTCCAAGTCGCCCAACATGTACTATCAAGGGCTTTTCAGGTTCACCATTACTGTTTGACAAAAAGTTTAGAATTAAGATGAAAATCCTCACAACATCAAAATTGTGAATGTGGAAGGAATGATAAAAGGTTTCCACCTCAATCTTAGTCGCATTTCGTGTGAACGGAATCTGGGATGAAAACTTTCAGAGTCAACACCCTTGCTCCACAGACGAATTCTGTTAGCTGAGCATTGACAGGCAAAACAGGTGAGCTTTTAAAAAATGCTAAACAAGGGACGTCTATGCTCACCCAGTGCTATCAATTGACCATAGTTTGAAGACAACAAACTTACTAAAATACGTTTAATTTACCTGTTGTTACTTGAAATTTTTCTAGATCTTTTCCAATGGCAGCCGATGGCACCAGTGTCAGATCAGCTGCTCGATGAAGAAATTCTATAGAAAACAGAAAAAAGGTATTATTTTTATGTTCATAATACTTGAGTCCAAATTAGATCACTGAAGCAAGATACATACTTAAGACCATCCACATGGGTTTGACCAACCAACTAAATGTGTATCTTGGAATGTATCTGAGGATGAAAAAACATCGGCAATCAGCAAAAGGCTATCTCAGGTGCAAACAAGGTTGAGAATTCAGATTTATATGAATGAAACTTACACTGGTACGTGAGTATGATAGGACATAACAATAGGAACAGATAAAAGTTTAGCAATGGCAAGAGCACCAAAAACCTGAAATTCAGCCAATGCCAGATGTGTGTCAAATAGATCTTTAACACTATATCATGCCTTATAATAATAAAAACATAAGTGACAAGAATTGTAGATCAACCATTATGCCTGGCGATGAGGCATGTATAATGTCAGGCTTGAACCGGGCAACCTCTGAAATTATTCTTGGACTAAGTGCCAAGGAGAGTGGTACCTTCTGATACCAAGGACAGGGGAAGCTGCATTTTGAAGTTTTAGAAAACGTAAATTCTTGGTTAGGTGAATTAAAAATTGTATGTGTACAGCTTATACTAGCAGAAGATGAGATAAAGTAGAATAATAGTTGACAAATATAAGCATTACGCAATTCACAAGCAGGTAAACAGATATTACAGAGATAATAGAGCTAAACTGCAAGAGTTATTTTTAACTACCTCCGGGATCCAATAATTTTGGCACCATAAAATTCTTGGGGGGCTCCTTCATGCGTTGTCACAACCAGTACCTACATTCGCAAATAAGCATGTTCAGAAATGGCATATCAGAGTTGAAATCTTCAAGTTAGCCTGTTCTTAGTTAGCCTATTTGCAGCTTCAGCTAAGAATTCCTAAGACAAGAATGAATCCTGCATCATTCCAGTTCTAATTATGAAAGAGTAGTGGGTCAGCAAATCAGCTCAAAGTTTTAATACTTAATACTAATTGTCGATGTATATTGTAATTTGGGCTTATGGTGGGCTGAGATCCAAGGCCCAGTTAGATCAATTATGAAAGACTCAGATGCTTAAGGACTCGATCAAAGCTTCAGCTCGAAGATTATCACTAATACTCTCTCTAAATTGTCATTCTCTCTAGGAATCTCGCATTTATGTTGAACCTGCATTACTCAAACTAGTATCTTTATATTAATGGAGATAGTGCCATTCATCCCAACACCAACAGTCTTAGAATAATTGAAACTACTACATAAAACTACCGAATGTAGAAGAATAAAAGACATAAATATATAGAATTAGACCAGTGAAAGGTACCTCGTCTCCCATCTCACGGAGGTATTTAATGAAATTCTGAAACCGGTTTTTGTATCCTGAGACATATCTGCAAAATTGATATAATTGTGAGTAAGTGTATGTACCGTTCAAAATGAAAAGCTCGAATCGCACATAAATTAAGCCAAACGTAATGCCGTCTAGTCGAATCATGATTGTTGTCCTCGCAGAATCATTAAAGTACGTTAAGAATTGTTCATCATTATACAGAGTTAATGCCTGCTCATGGATCAATGAAGATTTGACCAGAGAATCTACACCTAAATACTGAGAAAGTCATAGAATAGCTAAGATGAAGCGTTTATGATGATGAGACAACGGAACATGCACAAAGAGCGTTTCAACAGACCAAAATATAAGGAACTCAATTACCCAGCAAAGCAAGGCCTGGAAAGAATGGGAGAAGAAAAAAGGGGACGGCCGAATTCATCTGATCGAGACCCCCAATGAAATCGGACTTCACAACCCCAGGATATGCGACGAAGAGTAAATCAGAAACGTTATTGAGCAAATCCTCAAATCATTTCATTCAAGAATTATTCAATTATTTATTTTTCTGACAATTCATTGTAGAGCAACGAAGTATATTTTACAGACATTAACAAATAAACGTAGTCCTTCAACTCAACAAAGCAGACAGAAGTCTTTCACTTTTGACGTTAAAGCTAATGCCACCGAACGACACGAAGTCAACTCTGAATCGGATTAATAAGGCAAGCCCTTTATTTTAAAATTGAAGCTCAAAATAGTTCAATCCTTGAAAAAAGAAGGAAAAATTAGAAGGAGTCTCAAACATCGCCACATTGATCGATGTAAATTAAGCACAACGATGATCAAACATAGAGACTCACGCAAACGGAGAAGGCTCAACGAAGAGAGCAATTCGACGAGGCCTCGAAATAGTTTCAGTGTCGGGCAAAGCAGGAGGCCCCTCCTCCTCCTCTTCCTCGTGTAAATTAGCCTCCGCAATAGTCATCCTGCCGGATTCAAGACCAAAACTTTTTCTACTGTTCGAGCTCTCTGACCTCGACAAGGGGCAAAATCGTACTCTTCTGAAATAAATATCACTGAGTTTAGCTCCCACAGAGCGAGAATGTTGAAATCTAACGCCTTTTGGTGGGTATGAACAATATGAGCGAGAAGGGGATGAGGCAGACGTTGAAAGGCAGAGAGAAGAAGAGAAAGAGGGATTTATAGACAGAGAAGCAGAATTCATGATCCTAACTAAGTACTCGAGTGTAATTAAAATATATAAAAGGTGTGGGAATTCGATTGATTAGTATCGTACAGTAGTTATTGGGCAAAGGAAGGTAGAGACTAGAGAGAAAGGAGAGAGAGACCAATGGAGGTAAAGGAATCTCACACTTGGAAAGGGCTCTCGCAAAGGATATTCTTTTTAGAAGTGGGGGCGGACAGGAATAAAAAAGGAAGGTATTCGAGCATATGCCATCGGGTCACCCTATCAATTAATTAAGATATGATATTATACATTAAATATAAATTAATTTTAATATTAATAATAAAATAAATAAATAAACATTCTGATATAAAAATTATTAAGAATAATAGTATATAAAATTTTATTTAATTAAATTAATATAATGTTATTAAATGAATTATAAATGACATGGTACATTGATCTATTCAAGAAATTTTTGCTAACGCTTGGGGTCACTTTAACAATTTATAATCTTTATGGGCAGATTTAGTTTGAACAGCGCGAGGAGCACATAGAATATATGAATTTTAATACTTGCAGAATTAATGATTCACATAGACATAATATAAAATTCATGTCTTATTTGTCATGATGTCAATATTGTTAAGATTAAGAAAATATTATTCCATTTATTTATTCAAGGTCGCTTGAACAAAATCAATCGAATTTAGCGTGGATTAATTCTGATTCGTGTAATGAAATTGATGACAAAGAATAGAGATTTGGGTCGTTGATTGAGAAAATTTACATTCAATTCTAGATGTATATGGATTTGTTACCTGTATAATCTAAATTCAACTGTAGTATTCCATAGATCTTGTCTGAAGAGAAAATCATTAAAAAAAATATTGCTAAAATGTGTAAATGATAATTTAGAATCTCATCCAAAAAAAAAATGACAATTGAATACTATAAAATATGATATCCACTCCGTTTAAAAATGTAAAATATTTTTTAAGCAGTTGAATGTTAAAAAATATAAGACAATTTTAATCTTTCGAGATATAATTATTATCTTTTTTTTCAAAAATATCCCTATTAATAATAATTTTATATTTATTATAGGGTATTTAATAGGGATAAATATAAAAAAATGGAGTTAGTTTGAAAATAGATAACTGCTTTATTTGAAATGAGATTCGATTAAAAATATCTTATATTTATAAATAGAGAGTAATTATTATTTAGTTTTTAGGATGTTGTTGGACATCTTAATTTTTGATGAAATAAAATATTTTCCTTCAGTAATTATTATACATTAAAAATAATTAATTTAATTAGGTTATTAACTAAAATGAAATAGAAAATTTCATCTCTGTAAATTTATTTATTAATTAAGTATAATTATAGTAGTCATTTTACTGAAAAAAGTGATCATTTTCTAATTTGTTTACAAGACATGAATTATAAAAAAATAAATAATCATTTTTATTTTATTTTAACTAATAGTCCAATCAAAATAATTAGAAAGAATGATAGTTAGGTCTTAAAATACTAAATTAATGACAGTTAAGTCTCTAATAATTTTTTAAAAAAAATTTAAAATATCGATCTAGATTATTATAAATTCAAATGTTTCAATTACAAATAAATATTTAAATATCAAATGTAACTTTAAATTATAATAAAAAATTTTATTTGTAATTGTTTAAATTAATATTTATTATTAATTTTATCAAAGACTTAATTGTCATTCTTCCAAATAGTTATTTCTCAACACATAATAGTCCTTAAATTATAGTATTTGTACTTGATTGATAAACAAATTTACAAAAAAAAAATACTAGTGATTTTCTATTATATTTTTGTCAAAAGTCTAATCAAAATAATTACTGTATCTTAATACATAATAGTCATTGAGGGCAAATATATTATTTTATCAAAAATTAAAATGTTAGACAAGAACTAAATTATAATTATCACATTTTACAAAAACTTAATTATTACTCCCTCTATCAAAAATATAAGGCATTTTTTGAAGAATTGAATGTTCAAAAATATAAGGTATTTTTAGTCTTTCAAGATGCAATCATTGTCTTTTTTAAAAAAATATCCTTATTAATAATAACTTTACATTTACTGTAGGATGATTAATAGGAATAAATATAGAAAGATAGAATTAGTTTGAAAATAGTTAACTACTTTATTAGAGAATAAAATTTAATTAAAAATACTTTATAATTTTAAATGGAGGGAATATTATTTATATATTTCAGTGACATTCTTTTGTAGTTCTCCCTTGTCTGAATCCCACCTAATCATCTCAATTGGTTGGAATTGAAATTTTAATTCAGAATTAGGAAAAATCAGTTCTAAAATACCTTAGCGGAAATCTAGTCTGAAGACGAATTTTAGTTTAAAACATAAAACGCAACAAATATGTCCACTTTTTTTTAATTGGTACCACTAAATAAAAAGATGAAAGTTATTTGAAGATATATTTTTACTAGTATATTCTCAATCTAATCGTGAAATTTCATTCAACCTACTACCAAACTTATTTACAATCAACCCTTAAAATTTTAAAACTTTAATTCAGTTCCTGTGAATCCATTTAGGCAAAATTAAAATTTCAAATGATACAAATAGCCCAAACCTCTTACATCATACAATACTTGTTTATTTTCCTTACACAAATTGCTCATGTGTTTAGTTTCACTTATTCTTCATGATAATATTATGCTATTAATAAAAATTGCAAATTTTTCTTACATCAATTATTACTTTTTTATACATCAATTGTTTATTTTCTCTATATCAATTGTTTTTATTTGAGAAGATTGGAGTTATCTGTGTCATTTTCTTTGAAAACTTAATTTCAATCTAGTCAAATAGAACCAGGTTGACTGTAAATAAGTTTGTTGGGGAAATAATGCAATTTAATTTCTGAATTTAAAAAATCTTCAAACTGAATAATATCAGCAGCATATCTTGAAGTTGTGTTATTCAAGAATCGAATATATTCCTTCTCACCTTCCAGTTTCCAGACTCGCACTTTTTCCCCTCGGGTCCCCCGTTTGCGATGGAAAGCAAATCCTTACCATAATTCAGTTAACCAAAACTACTTCCAAAATAATATCATGCCTGGAAAGTCTTTTTGCAGAATGCTACATATTTAATTAAAAAAAATGCCGTGTGGGGTTAATTATTAGTATTTTTCCAAGTAAAAAAATGATTATTTTTATAATAAAATTATGTTATTTAATAATAAGTTTAAGCATGTGGTTTTTTTAAGCAATTAAAAAAGTTTCATTAAAGAAAATCTATTAAGTGCGTGACTAACATTTTTGCAGTTTGAGTTACATGCTAAAATGGAAAGGTATGAGCGATACCTTATTCATGTTACCATCAAAGGAACACAATCCACTTCAAGACAGGAACTTTTTTAAAAAAGAATAAATATTTTTCATAGTTTTCGTCGAATATGTTATTTTATTTGGTTGTAGAGTGTCCAATTTGTTTTCCTTGCGGCCCAAAAAGGTGTCTCCAATGTTTTTTTTTGGAAGTGAAATTAAAACTTTTCTAAGTTAACTTGAATGATAAGATTTTATCGAGGACAATAGGGGTCATATGAAAAATAATATTATTCCTTCTTCGCTAGATCAAATGAAGCAAAATGATAATACTTCTTAGCAGAAAATCTAAGCCTTTGAAATATAACTTTGAAAAAATGGGAATAATCCACCTAAAAATTCTCAATCTCTTTAACTTGTGAGGATTGGATTGGAAGCGCCAAACCAATTAAAATGATTTCACATAAGAACGTCCACCGAAAAGAACTTAAGAACCTATTATTGATGAGTTATAAAGTACCTGGTTAAAAAACAGGAGTTAGGAGAGCAATTATGGATGGATGTGTGTGATGGGACGGACTTTTGAGCGATATAACTGATGATAGCTTTAAAAAATAGTAATAATAAGAAAGAATAAAATAAAAGGAGAGATTGGAGAGGGAAAAGAAATAAAAGTAAAAAAGAGGTGGGAAGGGAATGTGATTCGGAGGAAATGACGTTGATGATGCGCTTGAGAATTATGGAATAATAAAAGTACTCATTAACTAGAGAGGAATTAGGATTCCTTTTGCAAATCCAGCACTTCGAAACCTTGCACCTGGAATTCATTCGTTGCTTTGAGAGAGAGAGAGAGAGAGAGGCTCCCACTGATTCATGCTTTTGGTGAAGAAGTTGACTGATGAGTATTAGTGACAGTTGTTAATGGATAATTATAGATTAATTTTGTGAAGCATCAGGAGCTTGAATTTAGCTCATAAATAAATAATAATTGGGGATAACTTTTGAGGTTGCAAAAGTTTAAAGGAAACGGAGGAAAATATTTTGTGATATTACTTATTAATTAAGTATAGATATTTGTGAACTTAGAAAATATACTCTTCTACATCAAAATGTATGTAGTTTTAGTTTTAAATATATGCAAGTGAAATTTTGTGCATTAATGAAATTGTGAAGTTTGAAAATGATTTTTAATTTTGAATTTGATAATTGTTGATGAATGTGAGCGTGATGGTGATGATGTTGTGATAATTTAGCATGATTATATTTATGGTAGAAGTTCATTTTGGTGGAGTAGTGATTGTCTATGTGGGTCACTCCAACATCCCAAAGCCTCAGTGTTTGGTATATTATATTACTCTTAAACCCTACCTAGCAAAGATGGTAACAGGGTTTACCTTTAAACTCCAACTAGCGAAAAGGGTCTTATAATACCCTTGTGTTCAAGATGAGAAAATTCATAGTTCAAGAGTGAGTGTGAAGCCCTAGCACATTTACCCCTTATGGTTTGAGAGCTTAAACTAACCCAGTCACATTAGTCTAGCTCTTGTTTATCGTGTAGCCCATGGATTCAGTCAATAGTGCTAGGGGTTTGTGGAGTTATTGATCATACATTGCATTGAATCTTTGTTTTAATGCCAAAGAATTATTTCATGATTGCCCACTTTGCATACATATTATTATTTAGCTTGTATGAACATGTTATCAATTATCTCAATTATTTAGTTGTATTCACTTCTTTACTTAATATTTTTCAAGCATTAGCTCTGGTTAGAACAAGAGAAAAGCTCTCAAGGCTTGAGATGGGTTTGGTTCAAGGGGTAGAGAGGGTTTTAATGTTATGTTATTTGGTTTTATTGGGGGAGAGG